TGGTCTTCTTCAAGGGGCCCAGCCTGGGTCAGCATGGATGAGTCAGGGAACACACAGTCCAGCTGAGTGTAAAGGGATCTCCTCCAGGAGTCAGGAGAACAGGGTTCAAATCCAGGCATTGTCACTCATTAGTTGTATGGCCTGAACAAGTCATTTTAGTTCTCTGTAGGCTTTGTTTGCTGCTCTGTAAAATGAGGCTATTATCACTTGGTCATTGTGGGCAAAGTGCTTTTGAGAAACATAAAAGCAGTTCATAAATGTGAGCTGCTGTTATTTTACAGAGGAGGTAACTGAGGGAAAGAGAGGTGAAGTGACCTGCTCATACTAGAGAGAATGGACGTTGGGTTTGGAATCGGGAGACCTGAGTTCAGGTCTTGACTCTGCATCTGTGTGATCGTGAGCAGGTCACATTGCTGATGTGGGCCTGTTTCTTTCTCTGCAACATGAGGTTAGACAAGATAATCTTTGTTCCATTCCAGCTCCCAAATCTATGAAATAGTGAGTTTATGGCAGAGATAAGATAGAACCTGGATCTTCATTCTTCTCATTCTCTGATCTTTCCATTGCAATGCACTGCCTCTTAATGATAAAAATTGTTACAAGAGGACCAACCATAGGAACACTTGAAAGAGATCTAGACAACTGACAACTTTGAGATCACTTTCACCACAGATATCCTCAGACCCTGTTCTTGAGTGAATACCAGCTGCCCCATTGGGAAGAGGTGAGTTAGAGAATTTTATTGTTGTTGTTCAGTTGTTTCAGTCACATCTGACTCCCATTTGGGGTTTTCTTGGCAAAGATACTGGAGTGGTTTGCCATTTTCTTCTCCAGCTCATTTTACAGGTGAGGAAAATGAGGCAAAAAGGGTGAAGTGACTTGCCCAGGATCACCTAGTAAGCATCTGAGGTCAGATTTGAACTCAGATCTTCCTGACTCCAGGCTTGGCCCTCTACCCACTGTGCCACCAGCTGCCCTGTGAGAGCAAATAGTCCCACATGAATAAGAGGATTTTAAAAGCAAGAGCTGATTCTTCAATAGCGAAGGAGTGGAAAGGAAAATACAGATATTTGTGGCTCCTAAGGGAGGCTGGGGCCTTTGTGTGTCAGGAAAGGAGTATGGGTCTTTTCATTACTTATTTTATTTTGATCTCTCCCCTGCTTTCTGAAACAGTTCCAGGGGTAGCTAGGTGGCACAGTGGATAGAGCACTGGCCCTGAAGTCAGGAGGACTTGAGTTCAAATCCGGCCTCAGACCAAGCACTTGTCACTAACTAGCTGTGTGACCCTGGGCAAGTCACTTAACCCCAATTGCCTTAAAAAAAAAAAAGGATTTGATCTTTCCTTCCTTTCCCCTCTCCCTTCCTTTTCCCTTTACTCCCTTCTTCCTCTCTACCTTCTTCAGGATCCATTCTTTCTTTGACTGTAGGTCTTCACATCTTATAGGGAGGTAAAACAAGGCTTTCATGAACTGATCAGTGGGATCTAAAAGCACTGATGGGGAAATGCAGATAAGGATACAGATTCTAATTGGAACTGTGCATAGGTAGGAGGAAGATGACTTAGATGGTGCCGGCAGCTCAAAGACTCATTGGAGGGCAACAAGGACCTTATTACAGACGGCTATTACGCGCTAGGAGGGAAAGCCAGCCACATGTTGGTTGACAGAATAAGGATCCAAAAAGACCTGAATCTAAGATGAAATTTAATGGGGATAAATGTAAAATGTTATATGATTCAAAGAATCAGCTTCACAAAATATGGAGGAAGTATAGCTAAACAGAAATTAAATTGAAAAACCTCTGGGGGTTTAGTGGACTGAAAGCTCAGTATGCATTGCATCAACAGTATGGTGCAGCAGCCATAAAGCCTAATGTGACCTTGGCTGTATTAGGAGAGCTATAGTGTCTAAGACACTGTAGCCCCTAGTAAGACCATATGCAGAGTACTGTGTTCAGTTCTGCACATCACATTTTAGGAAGGACATTAATAAGCTGAAGTGTCCAGAGGAGGGTGACTGGGATGGTGAATGATCTGGAGATTATGCAGTGTGAGGATTGGTTGAATAGGGAATGTTTATCCTAGAGAACACTTAGGAGGTATTCCTTTTCTTCTCATATTTGCAGGGATGTCATGTGGAACAGGTTGTTAGATTTGTTCTGCTTGGCCTCAAACAACAGGACTAGAAGAAAAAGGAAGGTGTAAAAAGGGTAAGTTTCTGTTTCACATAAGGAAAAACCTCCTAACAGTTAGAACTATCCAAATGTGGAATCAGTTGGCTGGGGAGGCAGTGGGGCTGCCTTCGTTTGAAGACTTCAGAGAAAGCCTGGATAAACACATGTTGAGGATATTGCACAGCAGATTTTTGTACCAGTTCAGTTTGCAGTGGTCACTGAAGTCTCTTCCAACTGGAGATTGTGTGATTCTTCTAAAGAAACGACTACTCTAAGCCACATTGGACTCAATCAGAAGGCAGCCTAACTCTGCCTAACCGGCTTTCCACTTGGAGGTCAATTACATATCTATAGCAGATATGTACAGATATGCTACAGAAAAACCCTTTACTCTAAAAAGTAAAATTCATTCATCTCTCTGACCTGACCCATAAGAAAGGGAAGGGCTGCCTCTGAATCCAAAGTTACACAAAATAATTCAGAGTAGTTGATAATGGTTTAAATTGGCAACAAGAGGTCTCCAGTGTAGTGCCCCAGGGATCTATACTTAGTCATGAGCTGTTTAACATTTTTATCGATGACTTGTATAAAGGCACAGGTAGCACATTCATCAGATCTGCAGATGACACAAAGCTGGGAAGGATAATCTGGATGGACAGTCAGGAAACAGGATCTTGACAGGTGAGCTTAATTTCAATGTTATAAATGTCAGGAGTGACACTTGAGTACAAAAAAAAATCAACTTTACAGGTAAATGGGGGATACGAGTTTAGATAGCAGTTGTGAAAAAGATCTGAAAGTTTTAGTGAGTTGCAAGCTCACTGTAAGTTAGGAATGTGATATGGAAGCTAAAAAAAGCCAGTTCAATATTGGGCTTCATTAAGAGAGGTGCAGCTGCCCGGCATAGGCAGGTGATGGTCACTGTATTGTGGCTTCCTTGGGCATTCTCTGAAGCACTGAGGCTTAGAAGGACGTTAATAAGCTGCAGGAGGGCAGCCATCATGGAGAAAGACCTCAAGTCCACCTCATTTGAACAACAGTTGCGGGGAATTAAGAATATTTAGTCTGGAGAAGACTGAAGGGAAGCATGATAGCAGTCTTCAGATATTTGAAAGGCCATCCTGTGGAAGGACCAGACTTTTTTGGCCCTGGCAGACAGAAACAGGAAGTTGGAAAAAAAAAAAAAAACTTGCTCACAATGAGCTGTTTGTGGGATGGGCTCCTCCTACTCGGTCTTCATGTAGAGACTGAGCTACCACTTGTCCTTAGGATACTGTGATGGCTTTAGTGTGTGGCCTAGACTAGATAGCCCCTAGAACACCTCCTAACTCTTACATTCTGGGATTCTATGATTGGGGCATGTTCTGAAGCAGAGAATCGATTTTTGGGCAGAAAAGCATTTTTTAACATTGTTGGCCTATTTCACTCTTTCATTCCACAAACTTTCACCGAGTACCAGGGGTAAGGCACTGTGTTCAAGGAGATACGTATAATTCTCACAAAAGCCTGATGGTGTCAGTATCCTTCCTTAATGATGATGAAATATACAGCATTTGAAGAGATTAAACGGTGTGGTTTGGGGGCCTGGGCATTGGATTTGGAAATCTGAAGAGGTGGGTTAGCATCTTAGCCCTGCTACTTACTATGTGACTTTGGGTAAGTTACTCTCTGGGGCCTCAGTTTCCTTATCTATAAAATGGGGTTGTGGTAGTGATCTGGAATTTTAAGGAATCTATGATCCTGTAATCAAATATGACTTACAGGTTTGCAGACATACCTGTCATCTAATTTGTACCAGGAGTTAGGTGCTGTACACATAGAGAAGCACTTGTGTTCCACTTGCCTAATTCCCAGGGAGAGCCAAAGGCCAAAGGGAGAAAAAAAGACATGTGGCCCGAGGGAAGAAAGAGCAGGAAAGCAGGTCTGTAAGTATTGCAACAGGTTCACCCCACCAGCTACAAAAGTGGGCAAGGGAACTAATCATGAAGGCTTAGGAAAAAATCGGGGAGGGGTCCCAGATCTGTGGGAATTATAGTTGGTTCAACTTGTGGGCAACAAAGATGGTCTAGGGAACAGTAGGTAGAGCTGCAGCTAAGTTGTTTTGCTTTGTTCCAGTCCCAGAATGATAATTGTGGAATATCTGCACCTCAGGCCCAAGATCTGGTCCACAAACTTGGTTCTGTCTCTTTAACCAGATGTGGGCAGGTTCTGTGGACTTCATTCATACTATCCAAACTTACTAGATGCTAAATATAGATGGACCAGAGCTAATTTACAGTAGATGACCAGAATACTGTTTCTAGTTTAGGACATATACCCTCATGAACTGCCCATCAGGCAAATCATCGCCTAGAGTAAGTTACCTTTCCACCTGCCCAATCTCACCTTTGCCCATTTAATCACTTTATATCGAGACAGTTTCAATATCAGGTCACATCTTCTGATCTTATATCAGATCTGGAAGTGCCTCCTGTTTGGGCCTGTAGCTCATAGAATAGTTTTGCTTGGCAACAAGATGGTAACCTCAACTTGGCATTTGTTCTAGGAACAGGGAGACTTACACAGCGACCTAGCAAGCTCATTTAATTCAAACTTTCTTCCCCACTCCCCCAATTTTAGAGATGAGGCCAGAGAGTTGAGTTTTTTGCCCAAAGTTACATAGCTATTGACGCTGACAAGATCAGAACTCCGGTCTTGTGAATGGCGATGCAATGACATTAAGGCATTGTTGTGCATTCCTCTGGCAGACCTCTCATTGAAGTTGTACATAACAAAAATGTTACCTTACCATTTCAGGTAAATTGCTTTGGTCAACATTCAAAACGGTGTTAAACAAATCAGTTTTTAATAAATAGTGCTATTCCTCCAGCAATTTAGTCACCAATAATGAATTTCATTTTGAGCCTGATTATAAGGATTTCTACACAATTGAGCTGGAATTTGGTTACAGGCACCATGGATCATACAAACATCAGAGGAAATAGTATTGCTAAAATATGGGATACTGGAATTTTATTAAGAATCACTAAGATCAGAAAGAGATGGTTAATGTCTTTCTGAGATAGCTGTTGAGTTTCCTTTTTGTTCAGATACCCCATTCCTGCCACAGATGAGAACATATGGGGATAAGATTCAGGTTAGTGTGGGATCTTTCCTACCTGACTAATAAGACCCCCCACTGGTCTGTTTCTGGAGACTTCCTTTTCTGTTCTGATTTGAGTTGATGAGCCAGCAGGAGGTAGGTAATGAAGTTCTGCAGTCTCAGAATTGTGAGGCAAGAGCCCCTGCAACTCTTTCATGTGGCCAGCAGGGGGCGGAGGTGATGAAGCCTCCCTGGAAGACATTTCTAGGTTGTTGAGACAATGTGCAAAGTGTGTGGAAGAAGTCACTCTATGACACATAGCCCTGGAGGCTGAATATCGTGGTCTTACAACACAGGAAACACCCTATGTATGGCCACAGTCATCCCTCAGAATGAGGATTCCCTCTACAGTACAGAGATGATGCTGGTGAGGTTGCTAGTCCAACCAAAAATGACTATTTCTAATGAGAACCACCACCAGGATAGACACCTTAGGAAGGCTGTGTGATGAAAAAAAGTATAAAAATTAAAATCTGTTGAGTTCCACTGCCTAAGCATTTGCTTCCTCAATTAATTTCCTACAGCTTTGTTGCAGAATCAGGGGGCAATGGCTGGCACCCCACCCTTGTACCCTCACTGATGCACCACACACCAGGTCCCAGAGACCCACTGACCTCACAGATGCCCTGGTCTAGGCAGGGCAGACTGTCCACCGCCACAATAGGTCTTCCCATATGCATGTCAGTTTTCCTGGCCTCTCTTTTCTTCCCTCCCCTTGCTTGAAAAGGAAGGTCAGACTCTTTTTCTCTCTTCTTGCATTAGCACACCTGTGCAGCCTCCCCAGGCACCTAGCACAGCTGCCTACAGTCTCTAAGGCCCCAGTGCAACCCCCATAAGCTGCCACCCTATGCCCCAACCCCAGGAGGCACTTCTCCAAGGCTGTACAACCAATCAGCAACAGCAGATGTTGGCCAGGCTGCAGGGTGAAGGTACTGACTGCCTTTCACTGAATCTCAAGCAGCATATGTGGCTATTGGGCCTCCACCTTTTTCTGAGAAGCCAAGCCCTTTTCACTTCCTATTAGAAAAGAGGGGTGCTAAACAGGAAAGGGAGGCAGGGTCTACTTGCTGAAAAAAAACCCCCAGGATGAGCTACATGACCCAAATTGTTTCCTCCCCAACCCTCAAGGCAAATCTAGATAGGCCTCACAAGCTAAACTTTTCAAAAATTTCTTGGCGTGGCCTTCAGAAATGGGAACAATGCATGGGTAGGAGAAGAAGTTGGGAGGTCAAGGCATGAGTGTGAATTCAGCACCAGCAGATCTGTAGACCCCTCGCTGTTGGGCCAAGGGAAACTGTCCCAAGGACAGGCTGAACAAGAATGTCTGACCCTGCCTGGGGAGTTTAGCGTTCAGAGTCAGAGAAATAAGAGGGCTTAGTCCATCTCCACACCAGCATGTCTTCTCCAGCCACCCTGTGTGACTCTGTCTGAATTCGGGATTCGTTGGATGCCAGAAATTCCACTGCTCTGTCCCAGACTCGCTTCATGCGCCTCCTGGAACAAGAAGAGATCAGTGTGTCTTAGCCAGGCGAAGAAGGCCTCTGTTTGCTGTGCTCCACTGACTGGACAGCACAGCATGGAAAGAAACCCAGGTGCCCATGAATGCTCTACAAACAAAAGAGCAAACCAAGGGTGGGTATAGGGGGCTGGGAAAGCTGAATGAAGTGTTTGTTTTAGGGGAAAGAAAAATATCCAGCACCAGACAGGTCTCCTGCATGGGAGAGAAGTGCCTTAGGCCAGGACTAGTTCGTTTAAGAAGAAAAGAAATCAAGTCTTCCTGCTCTAAAGGCTGTGCCACAAACAGCAATGAGGCTGATGAGGAAGTCCACATCAGCCTCTCCCCCCAAGAATGAAGCAGGCATGCTGAGATTTTTGGACTCTCCCTGGGCATCAGTGGTTCATGCCAGTCCTCTGTAGGTTAGCACAGATACCAAGGCTGGCTGTATTTTAATTTCTCATGTGGGCTAATTAAGGAGTGACCACTGGCCTCTTAAGTGAAGGCTCAACAGGAGGAGACTGGCCCGACAGTCTCATACCACGGAAGCAAAGGGGGGCTGTCTAGTCTTTGGAACAAACACCGCCTGGGGTGAGTCCTGCCCCCTGCTGCCCCTTTGAGTCAGGGCCCCTTTCAGAGCACTGAGACCTCTACACCTCTCATTGGCCTCCCTTGTCCCTTCTGACAGCCTCTATCCCTACCACCTCACCCTGAATGTGGGTAGGCAGATTTCAAGGCAGCCAGGTGGTAAGATTATTTATTTTTACCTCTTCACTTCAATGAATACCAGCATTATGTATTTATATAGCACTGTTGTCAGCTTTGTAGACATTATCCTTACTGCCTCCTGAGGCAAAGTGTGAGTGCACATATGTGAGTGTGTAATGTGTGCAGACAAGGAGAATAAGGTACCATTATCTCTATTTTACAGCTGGGGAAATGACTAAAAGGGATGATTTTCCTGAGGTGGCCCAGGAATCAGGAGGCAGTGTTGGGACTAGACCCCAGAACAGGGTCTCTTGTGTGCTGAGGAGGCAGACATTGAACCTGCAGCTTTCTTCATCTGACCCTTACTCCAAGAGTCCAAACGAGAAAAATGGCAAATACTTGGCTAGCCTCTGGAAAAAGATGCCTACTTCACCTGGGACCAAATCTCCACTGACTTACTCGACAGCCTTATAATGACAGCTCCCAAGCATGGGGGCAGCTGCTTAAGGTGTCAGCATTTAAGACCATCATGTTTGTCCCCTGGGGAGTCAGATAGCATGGTCTGAGCCGTGACAGGATTCTCAATGAATCTAAAGGCCAAATACCTGGTTTTCCATCCTCCCACCGGCTGTCCGTTAACCAGTAATGAATAAGCTTGGACTGAGCTGGGCTACTTTAATCAGCTTCTACTGCTTTTTATCACTAAACGAGTTCTTTAAATCTCTCTCAATCTTTCACAAATAGGCCTTTGAAAGGTACTGCAGGAGGAGATCCAAGAGTATCCAAGCAGGGCTGACATTTTACATAACATTGAGAGCCTGGCATGAACCTACTTTGTAACTTGGAAAATGGATCAAACAGGTTAAAAGATTGAGCAGATACATATCAAATAAACAAACACTATTATTAAAGGGTGAAAAAGACCCTTAATGCCTCCCCAAGAATCTGAACACAGCCATTTTCAGTTCATTTATAGGCCATCAAGAGTCCTTATTCAGCTCTCGATTTTATTTTCCATGAAGCTGTAGTGTATTTAGGTAATCAGAAAATACTTTCTATTTGGCTTTGGAATGCAATTTTATATTTGTATTTAACTATCAATGTCTGAGCTACACTTTAAACCAAATCTGAGTACACCTGCTGAAGACTATGGTGACTCTGGGAGGTAGAGATGTGTCCAGTCTCCACATCCGCTACCCTACTTCATGCTGGAGGCAGGTTACCTTTTAGATTGATGGCAAAGCACTAGTCTAAAGAGCTCTGCTATTCTGATATGAATCTGCTTGCTATCTGTATTACATGTTGGGAACCTCAAATCAACTCAATGGCCACCTCCTCCAAACTCCTCCCAGAAGTCTTCCCTAGGGGCAGCTAGGTGGCACAGTGGATACAGCCCCAGCCCTGAAGTCAGGAGGACCTGAGTTCAAATCCATTGTCAGACCAAACACTCAAGACTTACTGTGTGATGCTGAGCAAGTCACTTAATCCCAATTGCCCAAAAAAAAAAGAAAAAAAAAAGTCTTTCATAATCTCTTCAGTTGGGAATAATCTCTCCACCCCCCACCCCTCCACCCCATCCCCAACCTCTTAAAGCACTTTGTTTTGTAACTCTCTAATGTACTTACCTAATGTATTGCCTGGTTAGCTCAACTGGTAGAGTACAAGACTTAATCTAAAGTCCAGGTGTTCAGGTCCACAGTTGTGTTTTAGAGGCGGTGTCATGGTATGTGAGCAGTGAAGTCCGAGTCAAAAAGAACTTTTTGGACTCAAATTCCATCTCAGACACTTAGTAGCTGTGTGAACTTGAGCAAGTCATTTAATTTCTTTGTTCCTCAGTTTTCCCATATAAAAATGGGGGGGAGGGGTACACTGGGCTCCACAAGGGTAAGGGATGGCTTTTCATCTAGGTTTTGTTTCTTGTGAACACCCAGCACACAGCTCTACACACAGTAGGTACTTAAATATTTATTGTATTATACTGTGCCTCCTCCTCTCCCATTTTTTGCTGAGCTAAAGATACAGCCACACAGCCAAAAAGGAGATGCTTAAGTGTACAACAGAAACAAGCCACAAAAAGATTAAAAACAATATTCATGATGTGGATCATCCACCTACAGATAATTAAATGTTGGCTACTACCTATAGAGAAGTAACAGTCATGCTTTTTTTCCCCCCCTTGTCTACTAATTCTCTTGTAGAGATTGGAGAATTCTGTAGACAAGTGACAAAAGAAACCTACTATTTAATACAGTACCGATAATGCCCATGAGCCAAAGGCTCCTCAGCTGATGTGGGACCAGTGAGAGTCACTTGGTTATTATTTAGGCAGAGCACAGAAAGGCCAGGAAGGCCCATCTCCAAGGACAGAGGGGTAACTCAACTCACCGGCTCTGAGGTGGGATCAGGGTGTCCCGCACGTGAAGGATGCCCACGTATGGATAGCGTTCCATGTCCTGCTCCCAGTCAACATAATGATCCTGAACTACAGCTGCAATGATAAAAGGTGACAGCTTAGGACAAGGACTTCTTGAATTGCCCAAACTTTCCTTTTAACAAGATCTCATGTAATATGGTCATCACCTATAATTTTCTTCACCATCTCATACATGGCTTGTTCTTCTTCCTCTAATTTCCGCCAGCGATATTTCAGAAGAATCAGAAGTCCCCACAAAAAGGCCAGACCTAGAAGAAGCAGATAGCTCAGCTCAATCATCAGGTAGTTACTGAGGGCCTGCTCACAGATAGGGAAACAAGCCCATCACAAGCCTTCCAGCTGGTACTGCAGAGGAGCCCTTGACTGCAAAAGCTGAGCTTCCATCCAGGCTCATTCTGCCACTTTGATCGTGTTCCTTCCATACACACATATTGTGGTCCTTCCTGTTAGAAGGGGATGAGACTGAGGATAGTGATTTCCAGGCACTCTGGAAGAGCTGGTTGAAGAGACCGACAGGAGCCCAACAGTCTTGTTCTCACAATGCACATGCAAAGCCCATTCCCAGAGTTGTAGCTGCAGCTCTGCAGGTGTCAAGCCCCCAGGTGTTGTTGATGGCTTGGTTTTTTGAACTCCGTCAACCTGAAGCCTTTGCTCAGTGAAAGCCACAGATGTTTAGAGATACAGGGGCCAAGTTTTTAACCAGTCAGTTCTTCCTTCTTTTATCAGGATTTCTTTACTCTCTTCCATTCTCCAAGAAATATTTACATTTTTCAGAGGACTGAAGTCCTTTATACTAAAATGAGCTTTGTCTCCTCTGAGAAAGGGTTTACATTTAGCACATCAATTTTAAAAAAATACAAAAATATTAGATGTCTTCTATGGAAGAAGCAGTATGCTAAACACTGTAAGATATATAAATTTTTAAAAAGGAATAATCCTTGTCTTCATGGAACTTACAGTCTAGTGAGGGGTGGGGTCAATATACAAACATCTACAATTATACCACAGTATTAGAGGATAAAAGCATTAGAGAAGGGAAGAACAAAGTGTTAGGGATCAAAGGATAAGGTCACTAGGACTGGGAAGAGAAGATGAGAGAAGGCTTAAGAGGAGGGGGCATTTGTGCTAAGCTTAAAAGGATGAGCTAGACATTCATGACTAGCATCTGAAAGGGAACTACTGAGCCACTAGCTACCTGGTCAGGACTTAGTCTCACTTTTGGGGACCCTTAAAACGTTTCATCCTGAATCAAGGACATTTCCCTACTATTCTCATCATTAACAGGTTCATCTGCTCTTTTTATTAGCCAGTGCTCATATCCAGTACAGAAAATGGGATGGGATTTCTGAAGCTAAGCATCATACTTGAGGCTGATTTGGGGAGGGAGGTATTGTGGATGGGCAGGGATGCACAGGAGTCACTCACCCCAGAAAAAAAGGAGCACAGTGGTAATGGCTGTCAGCAGGGCCCGACTGAGCCGACAGCCCAAGCCCATGCGCGGATGGGCAGATTCCAGGCAAACTACCTTGTCCACAGTTGTCACCGACTCAGACAGGTCTTCCCCTTTCAACCTGAAACAGGATACAAGGTATAGTCAAAGGCATTCAAATGAAAAAAGGAGCAGAAAACAGAACCTGAAACAGGAGAAAGAAAAAAAAAAGGTAGGGACATTGCTGCCCTGCTTTGTTATAAAACATAGTTGGCATCTTTTCTAGAAACTTTCCACCTTGGCTACTTAGGAAGACTTTACAGAAGGCATCAGGCTTGCGCCGCCTCCCCCCCCCCCCCAGCTGCTAAAATGACGTCTCTCTCTGCAGGCCCTTTGACAGCGCCTCTCAGCGTGCACAAGATTAAACTTTAAATTGGATTCCCACCTCTCAGCATAAAGAAATGGAAATGTTTACTGAACCACTGCTCTGCAATTGCATGGCAAGAATTTAAAGACAGAATGTTGGAGGTCACACTCTTTCTCCATAAACCGTAGGCACATAAACTGTTTAAGTGTAAAGAGCTAGGGAGATGAACTGAGCCCGTGGGATGAAACAGAAACTGGTGGATTCTTCAAGGCCGGTCACCCTCCCAAATGCTAGTGTCCAGACAACCTGCACACAAGGTGGGAAGCCTGGCTATGAAAAGCTGTAAAAGGCACTGGGGTGGGGGTGGGGGGGCGGAGACACAAGTTGACACCTGCATTTTTCTTCAGACAGGTTAAGAGACAAGTAGCCTAAAATCACATAAAAGATGCCAACCTTGTACAGGGATTATATATATGGCCTAATTTCCTGCAACCTACTTTATATCCCTGGTCATCCACATCCTGTTCAGAAGCCTGTCTTCTCAGATATGAACTGGCTAATGTCTTCACACTTGAATCTGCTTTGCTAGAGTGATGAAGGACAAAATCCTGAGGTTGTTCTGCTTTTTCTAGCGTGTGAGTGTATGTACACACATTCATACCCACACCCACACACCAGCTAGACCTGGCTTTTTTTAAGCTAACACATTTTTCATCCCACCATGCATCCAGTTGTGAAGTGTTTGGTTGAGCTGCCCAAGGGGCCGCCACTGGATACACTGCTGATGGAATTAGTAATTGAGGCAGATTACAGAAACAGAAAACCCTAGAGTGTGTTTTAATATCAGAAAACTGTATCCTGTACAGATATCTTGGCATACAATATAAAATGGAAAGTGTTTACATGATGACTGTTTCCAGCAGGAGAAACTTTCAGAGCTGTCAAATACAATCCACTAGTGTCTCTCCCCCTGCTCTCAATGTCCAAACCAGGCATTTCACAGAAGGTGAAAAGGAGGGTTCTTTCTGTTAATAATCTAGGTCGGTCATGAAAGCAGGCTAGAATTGCTGGTGAGAACAGAATCCTGAGCCTCACAGGCAGAGAATTTTAGGCCTGGGAGGGACTTCATGCCTACCTAAAGCAGGAGCCCCTCTCTATGCCATTTCCAACAAGTGGTTCAGTTTCAGTCAAGAGGAAAGTCATCCCATTCTTAGGCAGCCCATTCCACCACTGGATGGTACTGATGATTGTCAGGAAGTTTTTCTTTATATTGAGCCAAAATAGATGTCCCTATAATCTCCACCCGATTGTCTATCAGACTTTAAGCTCTACAAGGCCAGGGACCATGTTTTATCAGAACTTTGTATCTTTCTCCTCCAGGGCCTAGCAGTGTTCTGTACATAGCACGTACTCAATGCCTGTGAAGGAAAAGATGATTTGGTCGTCCTTCCCAGTTCCCATACTGAAAATCAAATGAGCATGCACAGAATTATTTCACCCATCAGTGAAGGAACTATACATTCAGGCAAGAAGTAGAATGGCAAGGCTAAGGAATTAAGAGAACACAAACTGATCTGTTCCAAGCAGAATAACAGGCAGACATCCTAAAACTCACAAATTTTATGTTTCATCCTAAATACTTTTCTTTCTGCTGCTCTTTCATTTTATCATCCCTTTTTCTTTCCATCCTGAAGTCAGGGCAGAGCCACATCTGCTTGGCTTGGGAATTTGCATTAATCATGTCTAAATTCGGGGCAGCTAGGTCATGCAGTGGATAGAGCACCAGCCCTGAAGTCAGGAGTACCTGAGTTCAAATCTAGCCTCAGACACATGATATTCACTAGCTGTGTAACCCTGGGCAAGTCACTTCACCCGACTGCCTTGCAAAAAAGAAAGAAAGAAAAAAAATAATCCCTAAAATCTGGCCCATAAAATATATGTCAAATTTCATGAGACCCTTAGAGGGCAGAAAATGGACAGGTGAAAGAGTTTTAACATTTTGGACAAGTCATTTCCCTGCCGGGGTCTCAATTTCTGCATCTTTAAATAATGTCGTGGTAATCAAGGATTCCTAATGCCCCTTCCAGTTCTAAATCCTGTCATCTCCACTCACTCACCAGATTCCTACATCCTTGTTACTGTTCAGTATCCAGGTCAATGCAGCTTCAAACCTTGCTGGTGAACTGCCGGTTACATTCTGTGGGGAAGGGTCCATAAGAAGATTAGTTCTGCATTTGAGAGGACTGGCTGGAACAAACATTATTCTGCTGCCTGGCAAGGAAGCTCTCTGTCTATGTGCCCCTGAAGACCTGTTCTACTAAATGCACAGCAAATTGGCAGAAAAGAAAGTTTCACATTGCTGAAAGCCCACAGACAAGGCTGTAACTAGAAGATGGGATGCAGAAGCACATAAGTAAAATGACAGTGATCTGAGACAAGTGAAAGAATACAATCTTTCCAAGGACTGAAATATTAGGCCAAAGCATCAATTTTGTGGGAGACTGGAGGTGAGTAGAGTGGAAATCTCATTTTATAGTGGAAAGAACTATGGACAGAGAACCAGGAGCTCTTAATCATATTCCTGTCTCTGCCACTAACTTGCCATGTGACCTTGGACAAGGAATTTCCATTTTGTGGAAATGAGGAGGTTCGGAGTCCCTTCCAACAAAAGTCATAGGATCCTAAGAATTAGGACTGAAAACCTTAGATATACAGTTTATAAATGAGGAAAGTGAGGCCCAGAGAAGCGAAGTGGTTTGTCAAAGGTTACATAGCTACTAAGTAGCAGAGCCAGGATTTAAACTCAGGTCTTCTGACTCCTGAATCCAGGGCTCTTTACACACTAACATGTTGCCCATTTTCTTAGAGTCACCTTGAATGCAATTCACCAATAGGGGAGGGGGAACAATCAACGAAAAATGTAACTTAAGTAGTTGTGGAAAAAGCTAGGAAATGAAGCCAATGGCTAAACAATGAGCACGAGAATTCCAGCAAATAGAGATTTTAACTACAGTGAAAAATTCACTGGACCTGGAGTCAGAAGATGTATATTTGAGGGCTGGCTCTGCAACCTAAGTGAATGTAGGGCAAGCTGAGCCTCAGTTTCCTTACCTATAAAATGGCACACCCTCTACCTCCAGGTCTAAGGTAAGGATCAAATGCAGTCATGGAGGTTACCATGAAGTGCTCCAGAAGAGTGAGCTAATATCAGGCTCTAGAGAACCCCCTCTTCAACTACCCCAAGACAGACTTAGAGATAATGGAGATAATGAGATAATACAGATAAAATAGAGATAATGAGACACAGCTTTTTAAAATAAACAAATAAAATCACACAACAAGAAGAACAAAACCACATCAGTTTGAGAAGATCAATGAGAAACACTGAGATGTCACAATAATGGATTGACATTCCATGCTACTTACTGCAATGTATTCCTGTGCTTCAATAACAGGAATGCATTTACTCTTTAGACTCTCTGGATTTCCACATTCAAAATTACCTAGGGAAAAAGGCAACATTCAAATCCAGAGAAAAGGTGAACACAAATGACTCTGAAACGGACTCCAAATGCAAAAGAACCAAGCCGTCCACTCTAATAAGGATCATATGGCCAAGCTGCTGCCTCCCACCTTCTGCTAGGTAATCTTCACTCCCCACAGCAAGATCAAAAGCCACTTAACTTGGATCAATTCCAGATCATTAAAACCTGACCTGCAAAGCAGTTTGGTTATTTGCATTAAATGACTAAAAGCTGCACAATACCAAGGTCTGTTTTCAATTGATCCTTAAAAGGATCAGACGAATAGCTTCAGACGACACATGAATTGTACTATAAATAAACATAGCTTGGGGAGGAAAAAAAAAGGCAGCAAGGCTGTGGAAACTCTGTGGAGATTTAAAAATCATGACACAAGGTAGGCAGCCTGGAATAATAGCACTCATTTTGGTCTTCCCAGGGTGAGAAGCATAAAAATGGCCCAGTATGCAGTGGGAGGAGTGTTGGCTAGGCGGTGAGGACCAGACTCCGGAGGCACTGGTCAGTTACAGGGAGGCAGTCCTGAGGGGTATGGGGTAGTCCTGCCTGGGACAGTCCCCTCAACCTAACTAAATCCTCGGCTTCTTCCATGAAGCCTTCCCTCCCCATCCCAGTCCTTTCTCCAAACTCCTGCTGTGCTTTATTAATAGTCTGCCACCCACAGTGCCTGAGTATATACATCACTGCACTTTGTTTCTGATGTAAAACCTTGTTTCTCCAGTTAAATGATATTATTAGATTTAAAGCTCCTTGAGGGGAGGAACTGTGTTGTTTTTCATCTTTGTCTCTCCAGTACAGTGCCTTACATATAATACATACTTAAATAAATGCTTGTTGTGTTTTTGTTAGTCATTTCAGTTGCGTTTGACTCTCTGTGACCCCATTTGAGGTTTTCGTGGCAAAGATACTGGAGTAGTTTGCCATTTCCTTCTCCAGCTCATTTTACAGATGAGGAAACTGAGGCAAACTTGGTGAAGCGACTTGCCCAGGGTCACACAACTAGTAAGTGTCTAAGGCCACATTTGAACTTTGGTCTTCCTGCCTCCAGGCTTGGCACTCTATCCACCGTGCCCTCTAGCTGCCCCAAATGCTTGTTTAACTGAACTGAATTACTGACTTACAGACCATGTTTTTTTTTTTTTTTACTGTAAACTTCTTCAGATCAGGGACTATCTTACATTCCATCTCCCTCTACTCCCCAACCCATATCTAGCACAGTGCTAGGCACATGGTAGGGAGTAAATAATGAATAATTCATTAATTTAGCTGGTCCAGTAGTTCAACTTATCATTTAGGGTTTGATCAGGTCAGACAGAGGGAGCTGTGTAGAATTGGGGGTGGTGTATTGGAACTAAACTGGGACTTCCCAATATATATCCTTATAACCTTGCAATGATCTGAATTTTCTGGGATAACCAGGACCAACCTTAACATAGGCCTGGATCAGACCATCTAAGAGAAGACAGTATGGGGGACTAGAGTGGGATCCCTCTCTAATCAAGGTCTTTCTTAATTTGGAGTCAAACCCTCAGTGTGGCCCTTCAAGCTTTGGACTAAAGTGTATCACTCGACTAAGCCAAAGCCCCTACCTGGTGAGCCGATGATGGGCTACTACAGTGTACGCTGGGGGATGAGAGCCCTGCCAGCCCTGCTTGGGTTTAAGGTAACTTTTCAGACAAAGTATTTGTGTCCATGAGTTATAAGTTAACTCATAAAGGACTAAATCAAAATTCTAAGCACAAATGTCAACCTATGGATACAAAGACTGGACTTAGCAATTAAGAGATTGTTGGTAACTTTGGAGAGAACTGTTTCAACTGAGTGGTGGGGATAGAGGCCAGCTTACAAGCGAATGAGAGATGAGAAAAGACAACCATGACAAGCAAACTACTAGGAACAGATTCAGGGTCTCTCCTCCAAAGGGGTCAAAAGCACTTCCTCAGTTAAAATTTCACTTATCCTCCCAGCATACCTGAGGGAAAAAGGAGCAAGGACTATTGATTCCATTTTATAGATGGAGAAACAAATCACTGAAAGATTAAGTGACTTACCCAGGTCTCCCAGTCAGGAAGGGGCTGACTCAGAGCTGGAGCTCAGGTCCCCTGATTCCTAAGCCACTGCTCTATGAAAAGGGCAATACTGACCTAATAATGACTGGGGGCTACAAAATCATAACTGAATGAGCACTGATTCAAATGCGGTTTTTGGCTCAATGACTAGCCCCTGCTCAGGGCAGGGCAGAGCAGAGGTATGATGAAGAGTGAGGAGTACTTCCATGGGACATATGTGCATGAGGACTCTGGGTCAATGTTCACATTACTGATCCACATCTCTCTGCATTCTCCTTCTCCCATGCTAACCCCTGCTACTGCCAACAATATAAAAGCTGCCTCCACACTGATGTGGTTATTTCTGCTCAGAACACCATCTGTGAACACAGCAGCATCTGGCCCTCCTGTGAGCCGGCTGGTCCTGAACTATACTCAGCCTCTAATGCATACTGTGGGTCACTTTTTAAAAAAGCCTATTCTGCCTGAATGAACAGATTGCCTGGGGACCAAGCTGGGCCAGAAGACAGCAAAGCTGAGGCCCTGTGTCCATCCTCCTTTGAAGTGCAAGCACAAGAACCATCGAAACCAAAGGGAAACAAACCAAAGAGGCACCATTTCTATTTTGAGTCCCAGTTAGCACAATTGTTTCTAGGGTCTTTAAAAAGAGAATGACCAGGAGTAAAGCCTTTCTGCCTAAATCCAAGAGTAAAAAAAGATGTGGTTGAATGGTAAGGAAGAAAAGAAAAGGTGAGACTTATTTTCAGTGTTTTAAGCTAGAATTCTTACTATCTGGCAAAGAAGCCCAGCTATTAGCCAGCAAGTCTGCTTTTTCCTGGCCTGGGGGACCCTTTTTCACATATGCGTTCATGGAACTATGTTTAATTCAATACAGCAAACATTTATTAAGCACCTATCAAGGTCTGGTCTAGGTTCTACCAGTGCAGAAGTGCAGGCCCTCATCACCTCATACCTGGACTATTGCAGCGGCCTGCTGGAGGCTCTCCCTGCTTCAAGTCTCTCCCTATTCCAATCCATCTTCCATTCAGCCATTACGTGATTTTCCTAAATGAAGGTCTGATCACATTACCCCCTCACTCAATAAGCTCCCGTGGCTCCCTATTACCTTTAGAAGCAACTACAAAATGCTCTGTTTTGCATTCAAAGCCCATAGTAGCCTAACTCCCTTCTACCTATCTAATCATCTTACACCTTACTCCCCAACATATACTCTGATCCAGTGACGCTGGCCTCCTGACTGTTCCACATACGAGACACTCCATCTCTGGGCCCTGGACATTCCCTCTAGCTTCCCTGTGCCTGGAATGCTCTCCCTCCTCTGCTCCAACTACTGACCTCCCTGGCTTCCTTTAAGTCCCAAATAAAATCCCACCTCTTCCAGGAAACCTTTCCCAACCCTTCTTAATTCTAGTGCCTTCCCTCCACTAATTATTTCCTATTTATCCTGCATATAGCTTGGTCTTTACTTGTTTTCATGCTGTCTCCCCCATTATATTGTAAGCTCCTTAAGGGCAGGGACTGTCTTTTGCCTCTTTTGTATCCCCAGCCCTTAGCACAGTGCCTGGCACAAAGTAGGTGTTTAATAAATGTTTACTGATTTGAAAAAAAGAAGTGAAAAATGACATGGACCCTTCCCTTGAAACACTGTATTATACACATACTTACCTGCCTGTATGGCCAAGAAGTTATATAACTCATGCAGCACCTCTAGTAAAACTTTCTTCTGTTCGACCTGGCAGAACTGAGGATACAGAGAAATAATTAAGTGGATAACAAAAAAACTGTTTCTATGTGTACATTTTGTTCCCCAAGCCCATCTCCTGTGACACCTATTGTTACTCCTCAAAGACAGGAACTTTTAGATTCCTATTCAGTGCCTAGCACAGGGCTCTGCATACAGTAGGTACTACACAGTTGTTGAATGAATGAGCATTCTGCCTTAGACATCTGCCCACACACCCTACCTCACTAACTCACATGTCCTTAGGCCTACGCTGGGGGAAAGTGATCTGAGGCAAATCACAATTTCTTTGGACCTCAGTTTCTTCGTCTATGAAAAAAGGAGACTGGCCCATGATTACTAAGGTTCCTTATAGCACTAAATCCTATGATGCTAGCCACTCAATACTTAGCGACTGATTGAAAAGAAACACCACCAAGAATTAGCCAGCTGTATATGTGATAGTTTATATGTAACTAAAGGTTTTCTCTCCCAATCCTTCGACACCAATGTTTGACTGAACAGCAGCCAAAGATACCAGACTGTGTGTGGGGAACAAAGGCTGTTTACCTCTGAGGGAGAAACTGAAGAGCTACAATTGGAAAGGTAAAAGGTCTGGATCTCCTTTAACCAACCACACAGATTACAGGGCCTTGTTAAAATGATTGCACAAAAGGATTACAATTCAGCACATTTCTAAACCTTGTCCAATGATGTATTCTGTGGGGCTGGGATGTGACAGCATGCCATAGACTTTGGACTTTCATTATTTGTGATGTAGTCAAAACTCTATTATCTGTGTATAGATTTTGCACCTTATGGATCATCTGAAGCCAGTGTTTAATCCAAGGCCTGTTTCCTTACAGATGCAAGATTTCTGGAATTTTACAATTTACAATTACAATTTTACAATTCAAATCATTTCAACAAACATTAAGAACCTAGTTTTTGCCCTCCCCCACTCCTAAAAAAAAAGCAGTTTTTGTCCTCAAGGAACTTACAACTTACTGGAAATACATGTACATAGGTAAATAATAAATATCAAATAATTTGTGAGAGCTCGTGAGTGTGTGTGTCTGCCTGCATGTGTAGGATATGGCAATTAAGCCAAGCTTTGAAGGAAATGGGGGATTCCAGAAAGCAAGAGGTGAGAAGGGAAGGCATTCAAGGCAAGGTGACAGCCGATACAAAAGAATGGAGGGTAAAATGTAGCTAGGGAATGGCAAACAGGCCAATTTGGCTAGCACACAGTATATGAGGGAGTGATGTAATTTCAATTAGTCTGGAAAGAGAGGCTGGGGCCAGATTGTGAAGGGTTTTAAATGCCAAACAGAGGGATATGATTTTTATCACTCGAGGTAATAGGGAGCCACAGAAACTTCATATCACAGTCAGACAGATTTTTGGAAGATTATTTTGAAATGTGGAGAATGGATTATGGGGAAATACTGGAAGCAGGGAGATCATTTAGGATGCTACTTTAGTAGTTCAGGTGATTGTGGACTAAATAAACCAGGGTGGTGACCACGTAAGTAAAGAGAAAGGGCTGGATGCACGAGATGTCCTGAGCAACTGTGCTTATGAAACGTAGGTGAAGAAAGGCAAGAGTTAAGAGTAACTCTGATGTTATGAACTTGTGTAACTGGATGGATGTTGTTGCTTTTGACTGAATGGGGAATTTAAGAGAAAGGACAGGTTTAGTTGAAAGTGTTGAGTTTGAGATGCCTATGGGACATCCAGGTGGAGAGATCCAGCAGGTAACTGGTGATGGCAGACTAGAGCTCAGGAGAAAGTGAGGGCTAGATATGTAGATGTGGGGATCACTAGCAGAGGGATGACTGTTGAATCCATGGGAAATGATGAGATAAACCAAAGAAGTATAGAAAGGGGAGAGAAGAGGGCCCAGTCAAGAGCCTTGGGGTATAATCAAAGGTAGGAGACAGGATAATGATCCAACAAGTAAGACTGTCAAATCCCAAAGACAGGTGAATACATAAAACTCCTTTTTCCATCTCTTTGAACCTTCTGAACTTTGAACAGGCTGTTTCTGATACCTGGAATGCATTCCCTTCCCACTTCTATCTCACAATTCCTGAAGTGAATTCTCTAGTTTTCTTTAAAGCTTGAGTGCTACCTTCTGCATGAAGCCTTTTCTAATCCTTACTCCCTCCTCACCCCTGCCACTTCCTCACTCAAAAGCTAGCAACTCCCCCCAAAAACAATCACTTAGTCATTTATTTGGTATATAGTTTGTAAATGTTTTCTCCTCCATTAGAATGTAAGCTCCTTAAAGGCATTTCATTTCTGTCTTTGTATCCTCTGCACCTAGCATGACACCTGACACAGAGTAGGTGCTTAATTAACTCTTGTTGACTGGTTGAAGAAAGATGAACGTGGGGAAAAAAGGCCCACGTTTAGCAATTAAACCTTCGGAGACAGCAGTTCCAACTAAGTGGTAGGACTGGAAACCAGATTATAAGGGACTGAAAAGTAAGTGAGAGGTGATGAAGTAGAGGCAATAAAGGTGGACTGTTTTCATGAGAAGTTTTGCTACGGATGACAGAGTCTGGTAAAAAAATTTCTTTAAGGATGGAGGAGATCGAGACCTATTTGTAAGCAATAGTTAAGAAGCTAATGGATACAGAAAAATTGAAGCCAACAGAAGTGATGGTTAATAGGCTTTATGGAAAAGCAGAAATTTAGAGAATTAGGAGGAATGGATAAAATTAACCTATCCTTTAGACAGTCTTTTGGCTAATTTAATCCAACTTTCTCATTTTACAGATAAACTAAGGTAAGATAAACTAAAACAGGAAATACCTTACCCAAGTTTACACAGCTAGTTAGGATAACCTTCACTCTTGTCAGGACAGTCTTATGATTAAACTGAATTCTTACTCTTCCAATACTATATATTATACTAGCTTCTGTGTCAGAATCCTGTAATAAGACCCTATAGTCTATGCTACTTGTTCAAGTGAAAGCCATATACTTTACATATCAAAGGGGAGGGGAAATCTACTTTATAGTCATGAGTTTGGTGTACTGTCCAAAATTAGTGTTTTGTATAAAACCTGAATATGGCCTATAACAAGTCTTATTTTTTAGTGTATACTGAAATATATCTATATCTTTTCCTTTGAAAGAGACCTAATTTTAGAGATGTACTTATATTTGGGGGTAGCCTAAACAATACCAATATAGTATTGTTTGTTTTTTTTGTGAGGCGATTGGGGTTAAGTGACTTGCCCAGAGTCACACAGCTAGTGAGTGTTATGTGTCTGAAGCCTGATTTGAACTCAGGTCCTCCTGACTCCAGGACCGGTGCTCTATCCGCTCTATCCACTGTGCCACCTAGCTACCCCACCAATGTAGTATTAAGACATATGATGGTCCAGGTGGAAGTGGAGGGGGAAAAGGAATAATTCAGGAAACATTCAATTCAAAAATAAAACCAGAAAGACTTAGGACAAAGAATTTTTTCCTTCTGGATTTCTACTCTCTTGTAGACTGGACCTTCATATCTTTAGCTTTCCTTATCATCTAATCTCCACATGCTTCTAGACTATCTCCTCTAGGCCTCAACTGGGATTTTCTTAGGGAAAGCAACCTAATTTGGGGCAGCTAGGTGGCATACTGGATAGACTGCTTGACTTTGGAATCAGGAAGATCTGAGTTCAAATTGTGCCTCAGATACTTCCTATTTATGTCACCCTGGGTGAAAGATTTACCCTCCCTTAGCCTCAGTTTTCTCATCTATAAAATGGTGATAATAACAGCCTACCTCACAAGGTTGTCATACCAGCTGAATGAGATAATATAGGTAAAGCACTTTGCAAGCCTTAAAGGGCTATACAAATGTTAGCTATTCTCATTATTATCATCAATCCAGTTCAGTAACAGTTCATGTCTATGATGCTTTAAAGTTTACAAACTGCTTTCCTCACAATAGCCCTGAGAAATTAGAAAGTAAGTATTCTTTTCCCTCATTTTACAAATAAGCAAACTGAGGCTCAAAGAGATAAGTGATCTATCTTAGGTCACACACAGAGTAAGAGGCAAAGCTGGGACTCCAACACATTAAGTAGAACATTATTTCATCACCACTCCCTTCCCCAATATGCTAAATATTACACAGTCCAAATTCAGACAGAAATAACACAGATGAGTGAAATCTAGGTCTCTTTTTCATTAAAAGGGCTAACACAGAGCTGAATGCACTGCAATTCAAAAGCATTACCTACAGTATCTTTTTTTCCAAACTCCTAGCTGCTGGAGATCTGAACTGGTGTCCTAGTATGCTTGGGCATTTCATACCTAATAATTAGACTACTAAGTCATGCCCTCGGCAGCATGAAAGCTTCTTCTGGTAGAATTTATGACCTGAGGATTTATTACCCTGTATCTTCCCCAGACAATCGCCAAGCCAGAGCATCACTTCTACTCTCTAATGCTGTTTTCATGACTCATAAATGGATGGAGTTACTTGCCTTCCCCAAATATTATTTGTAGGGCATGCTGGTGCTTCATAAACAAATCTGAAGACATATTAAGAGGACTAATTCCATTGAAGCTGATCTGAGAAAATGAAGTCCACAATGCCTGCAATCAAGGCACATTTCAAAAGAGTCCACAGTCCTTCCCTTGAGACTCTTGCTGGGAATGGGACAGATGCTGAACTAGAAAGCAGGCTTTCAGAAGGTTAAAATCAACAATCCTTTTCCCTCAGAGTCAGGAAGGTGTCTATAGGTCCTTTGCAAACAACCCAGGAATCAACTTAGGAGCAGACAGATCAAAGTTACTGATGTTGCAATTGATGGAAGAGCTTTTCTAACGGGACATGTGTTGGATCTTTAGGGGCTCAATTCCATGCATTTCAGATTCTCCTACATAGCTACAATTGAGTCTGACATGAACATCACAGACTACTATTTGATTTTGGTATATTACTGAAAATACTCCCCGAAAATGATCCTATTATGATCTTTTTCTGGGGAAGTTTACCTCTCTTAGAGAGGGCTGCATCCTCAGGAGGAATAATAAAAAGCTAGGAAACAACTCACCGAATCTGTTTTCCTCTCACAGTCCACCGGCAACAACTTCACTAAGATCAAAAAAGAAACAGAGAAGAGGTTAAAAGGGTGGCTAGTTGGGAAAAGAAGTAAGGAAAGGCCCCCTCCTCAGACTCAGGGCTAGCAGAACCTGACTGGCACCAGTGAGATGCCAAACAACATGTTTCCCAGGTCAGATGTGGTTTTAAATCCCCCAAATCAAATATATCCTTATACATTTGCTAGTAGGGAAAACCCTTCATTTGTAAGGTTTCATTTATAAACAGGATTGTTACTTTGTACCCTTTATTTACAAATGTTTCTTTATCAAAGCTAATAGGACTTTAGGTCTGAAATCTTATGTTCAAAGGTTCTCTTTTGCTAAGTTGTTTACAACACAAGCCTCTCAGAGCTACAAGGGACCATTTGATTCCAACTCCCTCAGTATACAGGTGGGGAAACTGAGTCTTACGGATATTGGGCTTCATACCACCAACTTCAGAGAGTACAGGGGAACCAAAGTTACAAAGAATCAGTTGAATTTGGGTCAGCTTCAATTCTCATGACAGGTCATTTCCCTGTTAGTTCTACCCAACTAGCATATCCCAGTCTATATATGTGTATTTCTTGGTCTGCTTTTAGACCAAACACCTTTTCAACCGATTCTTATATCTTATCTTCTAAATCAAGATGAACTATCAACTTGCATGGATACCCAAGCATTAATTTATGGCAACAGTTAAGGATCAATTTGATTTTTTAAAAAGTTCATTTGAGGAACTTCTTGAGTTTCTCATAAGATGGTAAAGACAGCCTAAGCTTGTTCCTGGACATAGTCAATATTAATCAGGCAGAATAAATTATCATGCTCTGCAGAGAATATTAAAAGTTGGTAAATTATTTGATGTGTCATTTCACACTTAAATTCATAAGGAAACTATATGTACAGTGTCACTTCCTTTTAAGACTAAGGCCCAGAAAGAAATATGGCAAATTTCTCTATGAAAACACATACAAATGCTCCATTCATCTTGTGGAAGAAACACTGAAATCTACATGACCTCCCCAAGTTTGAGTCTGGGTGAAAATATTAGAACAGGGCATCACAGATGATAAAGGCCAGAATTTTCCTGGCAATCAGAAACACCCAATAGAGGGAAAATAAATTGCTTTTGTGTATATAGAATTACATACAGGTATAAAACAAGCATAATTGGGAATTTTTCCTGAGTCATAGAATTAGGATATTAAAACAGGAGGTAAGGAAAAGAGGGAAAAGGTATAACAGTAATCAATTATTATAATCTTAACTATTAACTAACATTGTTATATGCAATTTATTTTGTAAAGTGCATTCCTCACAAAAACTCTGAGACAGAAAGTGTATTTATCTCCATTTTCTAGATATGGCAAGTGAGGATGAGAAAACAAAATGACTTGCCCATAGTCACATGACTAGTTAAATGAAGAAGCCAGAACTCACATCCAGATGCTCTCTCCATTACCACGTGCTTTCCTTTACACTTCTATCTTTACAAAGTACCTTCAACATTTGCCATAGGCTAGCTGTGTGACTTTGGAAAAATCACTCCCCATGTCTGGGTCTGATTTCTCCTTTGTAAATCGAGAAGGTGGGAACAGATGACCTCTGTGACCCTTTCCAGCTCTAACATCTGACAATTCTAATGCACCCGTGATTTGGGACATCTTCACTGGATAGTAAGAAAACTGAAGTTACCGAGCTGAGTTAGTGGTATTGCCCTGAGAATCAGACTCAGACCACTTCACTTGGGAAAAGTGGTAAGGGAGAGACAGCCCAAGGCTGCCAATATGAGCAAACACTGTGTTTGTGGTTACCAGAGGGAAAATGGGTTAGGGGCTGGGCAAACTTGTTCTCTAGGGAGGGCTCTCCACTGGACAGGGAGCAAGGCTACAGGAAAGGAAGAGATGGAGAGTTAAAAGATTGGGGATAATGAAGGTTATTACTAGGGGGAAAAAATCTATTACTATTCTATTTAGTAATAGGATTTTACATCCTATTAATAGGACTAGCTTCCCTAATCCCCTACTCCAGGAGCCCCTGCAGAGAATACCAAGCCTGGAAAGTTGAGAACTGAGGAAGATGAGGGGAAGAATCATAACAAATGAACACCTCCCCTAACCCTGGCCCAGCAGATGGCAGAAGCAAAGGAAAGAAGGAAAATAGCCATAACAGCTTGGAAGTAGGAATTAGGGGTAGAAATTACTAATAAAGACTTTCTCTGCCATCTCAACAGCTGGAAAGATGGCAGCCAAAAAAACCCAAAAAACTGGGGAGAGCCCCATAGATAAGGAAAGAAGATAAATTATGGTTTCCCTAACCTTTTCCACAGTACCTGGTGACAGGGAGAACTGGGAAGCTGAGAACCATGAAAGTAAAAATTTAGGCCAGTAAGAAAATAGATAATTTTTTCTCCCTCCTCCTCCCCAGCAGCTAGTAGAGAGAGTAGGATGGTAATGAGAGTTCTGTGGGCCTAGAGTTAAGAACTGCAGACAGAAATTATTTCCAAGAACTACAATTCCTCTTGCACCCTCTCTGGAGCTTTGGTGACTGGAGCCCTGGCTACAAGAATTGGGGATAGGAGGAAGATTTAGAATTTAAATGACTGAAAATGAGGAAAGCTGTCTTCTTTCTCTTAACAGGTAGTAGAGGGGAATAAGTGGAAGTGAAAAGTGGAAGTGTGGAGTTACTGGCCTCTCTAGTAGTTGGTACAGGAGATGATAGTAGGCCAGGGAGCTGGGGCATACAGAATTAGGAGAGATTAGAAGCTCTGGGCCAGGTTCCTAATATGTAAAATGAGAGAGTTGAACAAGAAGACTTCAAAGGTCCCATCCAGTTCTAAGATTCTAAGAACAGCCTGTAATGGAAACTACTGAATTTGTAGTCTGAGGACCTGGGGTTCAGGTGCCAGCTCAGCCACTTATTACCTATGTGACTTTGATTAAGTCACTTACCTCTTAGGTTTATAGATTTAGTGCAGGAAGGTCCCTTAGAAGGTCACCTAGTCCAGCCCCCCTCATCTGACAGGAAACAGGCTCAGAAGAGTGAAATGACTGTTCAAAGGTCACAGATGTTGCAAGTGGCCAAGACAGGCGCCGGACTGGGGTCTTTTGACTCCAAATCCTGCCCTCTCCACGGCACCAAGGTGCCTTTTTCTCTGGGCTTCAGTTTTCCTCATCTGTCAAATGAGTGGGGCTGGAAAGATGACCGTGGAAGGGTCCCTCCTGCACGAAATCTATAATCCCATAATCAATCATTGGAAAGGGGAGGGGAGGAGGGCAGCAGGTGAAGGGGGCTCCCCGGTCACCGGGCGGGGGCAGAGCAAGGCGGCCACGTACTGTTCTCCTCCGCCTCCTGCGCCCGGGCGGGCCTCCCCATCTTCACCCACAGGATGCCCAGGAAGACGAGCAGAAGCGCCAGGCTGGCCCAGCACAGGAGGCGCGACAGCCAGCGCTCCAGCCGCCGCCCCACCTCGGGCCGGGGCCGGGGCCGGGCCCGGGGGCCCCCGTACGCCGCCGGACTTCGGACCGAGACCGAAGCCGGGGCCGAGGCAGAGGCCGAGGCCCACCAGCGGCGGGGGCCGGGGCTCGGGGCGGGCGGCTCGTCCTCGTCGGAGCTGTCCCGCTCCCGCTCCCGGCCTGGGCGCCAGGAGAAAGTGTTGCGGGCCCCGGAGCCGGCGTGGTGGATGCTCGGGCGGCTCCTGGCCCAGGATGAGGGGGCTGAGGAGGCGGGGGCGGCCCCGAGCCCCGGGCGAGCCCCCGGCCCCAGGCCAAGGCCCGGGCGCGCCGCCTCAGGTCGCAGCGGCCCCGCACCAGGCCTCGCGCGCTGCCGGGCCTCGCCTCGCAGCCGCTGCAGCTTGTTGAGGTAGACGTCCCGGGTGGTGTCCGTGATGGGCCCGGGCTCGAAGCCCAGGGCCTGCAGCTCCCGCCGCAGCTCGAGGTCCGACCGCGCGGCCATGGCCGCGCTGCCGCTGCCGCCGCACCCGCGCGCCCACCCCCGGAACTGCTCCCGCCGCTGCCGGAGCCCGAGCCGGGCCCGGGTGGGGAGGGGCGGGGCGGCCCGCGGCGGCAGCCATGCTAGGGAGGTCGGCCGCCATGTTGGGGCGGTCCGGACTAGGCTAGGGAAAGGGCCGCCATGTTGAGAAGGTCTAGTCTGGGGTGATTGGGCGTTGGAGGAGTGTTTTCAATCTCCTTGGTGCAGGTGGCCGCCATGTTGTGGAGGTCCGCGTCCCTGTCCAAGGAGGAACTACCATGTTGGGGAGGTCACTGACGGTCCCCTAGCATAGATTTAGATTTGGAGGGTACCGCACAGTGGTCGAGGAATTTAGAGCTAGACCAACTAGTTATATGTACGATTGAGGGAATTGGGTCCAGAGAGGTTAGGTGACTTGTCCAAGGCCACACAGCCAATAAATGGCAGAACTGGAATCCGGTCCAGGACTGTCTCAGAATTGTGTCCTTGGGGAGGTAGGGAACAGGTTGCAAACCCCCCTCCCTCCCCTTCTGGGGAGCCTGGCGACCTTGGCACTTTTGTCCTTGCCTTCCTCGCCTCTACCCAGGGCTCTCTAGCCAAGGAGCTAAGAGTACCTGCAGCGGGGGAAAAAAGTACCAAGATTCTTAGAATCTGTGCAATTTACAGGGGGTAAGATTGGTACTTTTATTACAGAAAAGGACTGGGAGAAAATCTGGATGGTATCTAGGAGCGGCAAATAGCTTGGTGTGGGCCAGGTACAGACAATGAAAGGCTGGGCTTGGTCCGAGGGCTGCAGAGAAAGGACAGCTGAAAGGATTATAGGGATGGGCCAGCTGCCTCAGGCGAGTGCCGGAGTCTGGGCCGAGTGGGAAAGTCCAGAGTCTTTTAGGGGTCTATCATCATAGCGGGCCCCATCAGAGAGATTTCAGGGGCATCCAGTGCTCATCAGTACCAGAGGAAGGGCTGGTTGCTGTGACTCATAGGACCAAAGATTTAGAGCATCTACTAAAACCTCTTATTTCACCGATAAAAACACAAAACAAAAACAAAGAAAAAAAAACTGAGAGGATCCTCTGATTCTGTTAAGTGACTTGCCCAAAGCCAATCAGTAAGCAGCAGAGCAAAGACTTAAACTGAGGTTTTCTAATTATAAATCAAAGACTTGCCCATTATACCATGCTGCATAAAGACTATCTACTAAAAAGGCATTTGAAGCAATACACTTTCCATCAGTTTCCTGGGTTTGAATTTTGGCTCAGACACTAGCAGTATGACCCCCAGGCAAACTATTTAACCTTTCTGGGCTTCTTTTTTCTCATTGATAAAACTAGGATATTGGACTTTATTACCTCTACAATCTCTTACAGCTCTGAATCGATGATCTACGACCTTTCTCTATGAAATGAGGGGTGAGAATTAGGTGACTTTTTAAGACCCCTTTGGGATCAAAATCCCATCCTCCAGCCTTCCTTCCATTTTCCTCATCACCGTCTTTATTGTCCTTCTGTTCCCCACCCCCCACCCCTTCTCCTTCAATCCCATTATATCCTTTCCTCCCTCCTCCTAGTCCCATCATGCAGTGCCATGGGCAGGAGACCTAGAGTAGATGCTTTATATTCCTGTTACTTTGTGTACCACAGGGGGACTCCAACCCTGGTCACAATTGCAGAGAAAATTATAGTCTTAGGCTGGTCAGGCTTCTGTTGTTAGCTTCCAAATCTCTCCTGACTTAGCTGCTCCCATGTGGTGTGATTTCTCTCACCAAGTGTTGTTTTCCTTTTCTCCGCCTGTGTTTGTATGGAATGCCATGAATTTGATATAGTGATTGCCTAACACATATACCACATAATAGTATTTTATTTCTTTCCATAGCACTGTTTGCATGACAAATGAGTTGGTAACATTTATGCAATTCCTTGAAGCTGTGCAGTTCAGTGTATAAAGAATGAGCTTTTGGGGCATCATACTAGCCCTGTGTATTGTAAAGGCATGAGACTGATGGCTTAAACAAAGTTAATAAACAGCAATTGGCAGAATGATGGTATCTGTCTTCAGATAAGCTTTCAGGAGCCTGAGTAAATAAATAAATAAATAAACAGATACTGGGCCTGAGCCAATCCCACAGGGTATACAATGTTGCTTTCTTGCATTTGAGGATGCTGACTTGTACAACCACAACCCAAGAGACACATGATCCTTCCTGAAGCCCTTTCTGGACTGACTGTAAAGATTCCCTCACTGACAAGAACCCTGCTGTTGCCACAGGTGAACCTGAGAACTTTTTCAGCTGTGGTTCTTCATCATATGTGGCTTTGTTACTTTTCTCTCCAGATCAGTGCATCCCCAACTCACTATTTGCTTCTGTTGCTAATATTGTTTGCCAGGTGCTCATGGCTCTGCCCCATTGTTTCAGATTTTCTTTTATCATATGGCTCAATTCAAGCTAAAAAAATTTATTAAACACATGTGCAAAGCACTGTGCTAGAGCTGGGAATACATAAATATATTGCAGATTTCATTTAAGGAGCTTACAAAGATAATTGTGATAGTGGGATCATAGGGTCATAGATTTAGAATTAGGGAGGCATCCTCTTCTCCCCTCTTTCAGCTTCCCCGTGAGTAAACTCAGATCCAGTGAGATTTAATGAATTCTCTAATGTCAGAGCCAAATGTGGCAGAATATGAATCTGAATCTTTGATTCCAAAACCAATGAACCTTTTATGGTATGGTGAGATCAGTACAAAGGACTAATCCTATTAAAATTCTATGAGAATTTGAGGAAATTTGAGTGATCACCTCTGCCTAGGGATATCAGAGAAGCTTCATGGAGGAGGTGGTAACTAAGTTGAACCTTGAATGAAAGGAGGGACTTTAGCAGATAGAAAAGTAGTGTATGGGAGTGCATTGCATGAGTAGGGGGGAGGTTGGGATGGGACAGTAGCAGGCTGCAGAGTCAGATTCTTTGAATGTATTTCTTAGGCTCATAAATTTAGAACTAGAAGGGATTAGAAGCTATCTAGTTCAACCACCTCATTTTACAAATGAGGAAACTGAGGCCCAGGAAGATTGAATGACTTGCCTGAAGTCACACAGGTAATAAGCATCAGAGGTAGGATTTCAACCCAGGTTTTCTGAATTCAGAGCCAGTGCTCTTTCCCATACTGCCTCCCAAAGTACATAAAAGGGAGAAAGCATGAGATAAAAATAGGTTGGAGCCAGCCTGAGGAGGCCCTTGATGCCAGGATCAGGATTTTATACTTTATTCAGTAGGTAGTGGGGAGTTACTGAAGATTTTTGAGTAGAAGAGTGATACATTAAGAAATTTGCCTGGATAAGCTACATGAAACAGATTGAAGAGGCAAAAGTTGAGTCAGGCAAAAGTTGGAGGCTCAACCAGTTTGGAGGTTCTCAGAGAATGAACAAAGATGGTAGCAATGTGAATGGGAAGGAGGGGCTGAGATAGGAGAAAGAATGCTGAAGGACTTGGTAATGTTCAAGTATATGGTGTGACATAGATGGAGGAGTCAAAGGTCTCCTGGGAGACCGGGAGTATGGTGAAGCTATAAGAGATAGAGAAATTGGGAAGGGGTCACTGCTTCTGTGGAACTAACATTCACAGAGAAAGTGCTTCTTAACATATATTAATTTTCTTCCTACTACCTGACTGGGTCTTTTCTTCCTTCGCAGTTCCCTTCAAGGTGGATATTTTGGGTTTACTACTTTTTTTTTAATCCCTCCTTTCTTCAAAAAGGAGGATTGGAAGTCAATGTCTAACCCTACCTCCACCCTGCCCCTATATCTTTATACTTTACATTTTCCTCATGAACTTGTGCTCTGGCCTTGTACATTCTCAGAATTGGAAATGCCTTCCCAGTCCCCAAACAACATTGGCTTGTCCCCAAGGCTCCCTTTAGCTATTTTACTAAATCAGTCAGTGTGTTTCTTGCCGTTTTCCTTGATGTAACTGTCAGTGAACACTTCATTCACAACTTTCCAAGTCTCATTACACCTGTTTTGCTGGAGGAACTGAACTCTTTGGCTCCCAATTTGCTTGGTAATTCTGAAAGTATCAGCATTTCACCTCAGTATGGTCTTTCCTGCCATAGCCCATTGTCATAAGTGGATACAAGAATCTTCAGGGGTTCTTGGAACTTGGTTTCAGATGTCTACAATATTAGTTTAGTGCACGGACCAATCTTTGATATTAATGCATATTTTAAGGCAAACAAAACTCTTGCAAAGTCACAAGGTATCATCCTCTCTGCCTTCCTTTTTGTTGTGTGTGTGTGTGTTTTGTTTTTTTTTCTTTCAGCCCAGGGAAGGTCTTCCTGATTTATTAAAGGCAGAAATGGGAAAACGAACTTCAGTTTCTTAATCTACTTAGCAACCACATGCACACATTTAACAGATGTGAAAGAGTTCTTAAAGGAGACTCCAGTGACCCTAGCGTAGTGCAATGCTAGTTTCTTTTAAGCTGACCTCTATCCAGCACAGTGTAACCTTTTAATAATATTGCCCATAAATCTTTTAACAAGTTGTACTCTCCCTCTCTTCTTTTGAAAATCTTACGCAGATCCATCTGTTCCACAAAGATTTCAAGTGCAATGATTGCCTAGGGCATCTTCTCCTTTGGCCTTCTCAACCCAGAACACACACCCTGCCCTCTTCTCCCACTGGTAAGTTTCTCCTGGGGCTTCCATTTTGTGGAGGGGCCCCAAACCATCATTCATTTCCCTTGTGGCCATGCTCCTGACTTCTGTTTTCAAAACCATGCCCATACCAGGTAACTTCATTTCTCTCCCTCCCATTGTCCCTTCTCAGCTCCTTTTTGTGTGATGTCTTCCCACATTAGAATGGAAGCTCCTTGACACCAGGACTGGCTTTTTTTTTTTTACTTGTATTTAATTTGAATTCCAAGTGCTTAGTCCAGTGCCTGGTATGAAGTGAGTATTTAATAAATGCCTTTTGCCTTCTTTCCTTCATC